ATTCCCGGCGCAGGCGTAGAGAGTGTTGAGGAGGGCGGTCCCGGTGACGAGGGGCGGAGGCCGCGTGGGCTTGGTGAGGAACTCGGGGTAGGTGATGACGGGGGGACTTTCGTCGTGGAAGTCTTGGGCGATGCTGCTCTGTGGCGCCGCGGAGGCTTGTGGTGTTGGTGCTGCTGGTGTTTCGGCGGGTTGTGGAGGTTCTTGGTCTGGCGCTGGTGTCGCGGCCGTAGTTGTGGTGTCGGCTGGGCCTAGGAGCTTTTCAATGTCGGCCTCCTCAAGGCCTTTTGTTTTGAGAAACTCGAGCTTTCGTTCGCGCGAGGCGTCTTTGATCTCGTCATCTTGGAGGAAGCGTCGTGCGACCTCGATGGGGGAGGAGTCTGAGGAGGGGTCTTGGGCAGCAGATGATGATTCTGATGATGGTTGTTCGGACTGATCGCGCTTCTGCCAGGACGGGATGCCCGAGCTCTTGTCCTCGTCGGAGTCACCCATACTTGACTTTTGGTGGTGTTTTGGTGAGGGTTCTGGGTGCAAGGGACTCCAGGAGTTTCAAGAAGGTGCCAGCTTGAGATCGAAGAAGATGGTGCTGCTTGAAGCTGTCGGTAAAGGTAACCACATGCCTCGGCTGGAACCGAGCAAATGCTGGGGAAACGGGGCCTCGAAGGGGAACTTCTGTTTCAAACTGACGGGGGTGGGACATGATAAACGGTGGACAGTACAGCACGTGCATGGAAACGGTACCCCCGTTTCGTCACCGTTCAAGGGAGGTCGAACAGCTCCAGAATGTCCAGCGTGAGCACTTCATCGTCAATTGACCCTGATGTCAACCTCATAGGCTTGAGCATTTATCCTTTCCATCGTCAAAGACAATTTCACTTCTGCGTCGCTTCGACATTGCCTTGGATACATAGCTGGGCATCGATACTCGAAACATTCAGGACCAGACGCGCGAGGAAAAACACCCTACACAAAAGTGAGGTGGTGATCTCCCCAGCCCGCCCAAAAAACCCCGAAGCAAAAGGGTGAGTGTGAACCCGCGGCAGCCCGCTACATTCGGCCGCGTCCCAGGTCATCCCATGCTAAAACAATGCCAGAGACGACGAGTCAGCGCTCGTTGCGACTCCAAAAGGAGAAGACACGCAGGAGCCCAGGCGAGGTACATTGGTCGGGACGGCAAAGGACGATCCAGTCCAGTCCAATCGACTGCGCCAACGCCAACAAACGCTGGGCCTTGCACCTTGCACCTTGCCTTGACCAGCCAGCCACGCCACCGCTGTCCTGCCCCGTCCTGCGCCTTGCCATCGCACGCGTCGCACCTCACGGAGCAATCGACGAGTTGCGTTGGCAGTTGTCCTAGAGGTCCCTAGAGGTACGTTAAACAGAACAGAACCTCGTGTGTTCCTGTCAGTGCCCTCCTGCGCTGCTTGCCCTCGCCTTCCCGCTTGCCGTCGTGTCACCTCAAATCCTCACCACCATCGCGAAACTCTACCCCCAAACAACACTATGTTGCAATCACACGCAGATCTCTGCTCCTTGAGACGCGTGAGACGCGAAGATGGGCTGTCCGCTGGCGGACTGGGAAAAGGCTATGCCAAGGGATCGCGGTCAGGAGGACATGGCGCGAAGATGATCAGGTTGTAGTTCCGGATCCCGCATGCTTGCCTCATGTGGTTGACGCTACTGGCGGATTGAGAAGGACGGGATCTAGCCTCCATCTCGGACGCTGTGC